CCAATCAGCTTCTAACCTCAGCTTGTTCAATGAAGCTTTGGCAATGAAACCTGGAAGCTGATTGGTTTCTAAGCAGAAGGGAGTCTGATTTTGGACTCTCCAGCTTTAGTAAATAAACCCCTTTAAGTCTAAGTTATCCCAAAAACTTGCATCTATAAGAACTTAAGTTAGACAATAAAGGGTATCACTTAAATGTCAAACTTTCTTCATTTGTAAGTCTTTTTTTGTAATACATTTACATTTAAGTGTAGTAGACCAACATGTTTTTATGCATGATTACTAAAAATATATCTCCTAAAAGTAAAAAAATATATATGTTAATAAAGTAAACTAAATAGATTTGGAAGATAAAATAATGGTAGTATACCTTTAAAAATATGAAGACTCAGGGTGCATTCAGCTGTTTAATCAATCTTTTTGCTTTTGTTATATAATCACTGTTCCTGCTAGTTTCTGGTTTAGACAATTATAATGCTTTCAGCTGTATATTTCAGAAATATTACATAGGAGTTGTTCATACAGGTAGAGTGCTCTTCTAGCCCTGGCAGGATTTTCAGTGAACTGACAGAAGCCAAGATGTACTTTTCCAAATCCTTCAATGCTGGTTGCAGAAAAGAGAATGAGTGACCTAGTTGTTGGAAGTTTTACTTTCTGTCTGATTAGACAGAAGAAAAAAAAACAGCACAGAAGATGTTGTTATCTCAGCAGCTCCCTAAACATTGATTATAAAATAAGCAATAGTATGTATTACTGTTCAGAATAGACTCTAACTATTCCAACCTTACAGGGGGTATTCAGTAGGTTTTGAGTAAGTGGAACAGCAAATGTACTTTTTTTTTAAAAACTGTGATTTGTTTCAGAAAAAAACATTTAAATAAACTAATTACATACTATTGTATGCATTACGTAAAACAATATAATAAGGATAATGCATTCATATATTCATAGGAAAAGAAAATGTATCAATTCAGCTTACATTTTAATCCTAGTTTGTATTTTCCATTTTTATATTCCATAAACATACAAGTCTTGTTTATGGTAATGTAATATGAAAAATGATGGCAACTTTTGCTAACAGGTAAAGTGATTGGAAAGCTTTTTTTTCAAAGGCATGGCTCGTTCCGTCCCCTGCTCCCTACCACAGGATTTGGAGTCAGTAAGAAGTCAATGACTCCTTCTGCTATTACTATACCCCATGAGGAGAAGAAGAGAGAGCAGTGCTGCTGCACTCAGGCACAGTGTTGGAGCAACATAGAACCCAGGTAACTATTAGGAGAGGTTAAGGGGGATATAACTAATGAGACATTTTTTAATCTTAATGCAGGGAATGCATTAAGGTAAAAAAAAGTCCTACCTTTAGAACCACTTTAATAGGGTTTATTTTTAATTCAGGATTCACAGTTCATCTTTTTTTGAATATTTATTGCCAAAAATAAATATTTTAAATAAACATATGTGAAACAGTCCCTATAAGGTGTATAGAACAGTCCCCTTATTCTGTGATGAGTAATGGCAAATTTTCATTCCAATATGTATAAGTAGGTAATAGAGCGCTGGGAACATATAAGCGAAGCAGTAGCATAAAAGGTAACCTTGGGACCCAAATACAAACATAAAAATAAAATATGCAGCGCTTATAAAATAAATATGAACAAGCAGAAAATCAGAACATAAACAGCATAACTGCATGAAAAACTCAGTCCATATTGCATGGTGCGATAAAGTGATAGGTGCAATTGTCCTAATAATCCATGTTCAGAGAAATTCGTGACTCTTGTGATCTCGTGATTGTACAAATAATGCACTAACCAGATAGCGCAATAAATGCGCATGGAGCAATTAAGACCCCGCTCCTGGTGCTCTGGACTTGTAATATTAGGAGGATGTCATCTGCAGGTTGGCCACCAGATGTCATCAATCCAGGTATATTGGTAAGTCATCCACCAGAAAGATCATCAGCGGGGGAGGGGGTGATCATGCATCATTCCCAAATAAACGTAACCTTCAAAAACGGGCTCCCATACAATAGATGAGACCCAGAGAAGCCTCTAATAGTGTAGTATGTCTTTAATAGGTAAAACTTACACCAAGTACAATTGAAGGATAAACTTACATCAAAACAAAGTCTGGCCACCAGGGTGTCAGTCAGGATGGCCTTGTGGTATGGATACACAGGTCAGGGGCACCTCCCTAACGCGTTTCGTGTGAAAACACTTCCTCAGAGGGAGTGTGCCCATGGTGAATGATAATGCTTTTATAGAGGGGTAATTTGGCGCGCATTTGTGTGATCCTGTGACGCCGATTCCGGTTCGCGCATGCGCACTGGCGACTTGGCGGCCATTTTTTACCAGTGATTATAGTATATGGACGGAAAACGGACTTTCGCGCATGCGCAGTGAGCGCTCGCGGCCATTTTCCAAGAGTTCCTAAATAGGGAAGGCATTCGCGCATGCGCTGTGAGCGTTCGCGGATGCCATTTTGTTGGTGCCACAGTGTGTACATACCAGAAAAACCTCCTTAACAGACGCCCAGCATCAGAGGCATCAAAGATTCTCTTAACTTACTAATAATCAGCTCATAATGTATTTTATTGACGGTGAGCTTAGGACATGAGAGACATATCATATAGAAATGAAAGTGTATAAAAATACAAAGTGTATGTTTAAAACTATGAATAAAAATTATGAACATAGTCCCATGGAGATTATATGGATAGTGACATCTTGTGGGTGGTTAGGGTATTACGTCCAACACACCACTCAACCTATATCACTCAATAGTACACAGGAGTGATGATCAGCTGGCATTGATGTGTGATATATATTGGAGAGGCACACATAAGAGAAGAGCCGTTTCAATGTTAGAAACCAAGTGGATTTTTCTGTTACACACCCAAGCACCACAAGGGTTAAACGTAGAGCTAGATGTAAACTGCTTTATTGATACCAGCTGATTTATTTTTATTTTTATTTTTATTCTTATTATTATCTAAGCGGTGGCTTTCATTCATTTGGTCACTATACCAGCCGACAGTTCATATACGAACTATCGCAGTAGGGGACAGGCTTTTTGGATTGCTATCAGTCGTTGAAATCTTTTCTTTTAATAAATAATTTATGAATCCATTTTCATATGGATTTTCACTTTTATTTAATGAGAATTTTTTCCTACCTCTTTAGCCTTAAATGAGGTTGTTTTTATCATATGTATATAAGGTTGTTTTATCATATAAATCTATTTAACCATCTGCACCCATTCGTTTGGGGAGATGTGAAACGTTAATCCCATATGGCTCATAGTACTATTGTTTAAGGACCAGTATTAATCTATTTATCTGCTATGGATTGCTCGGATTAATTATCAAATCCTATTTCAGATTTCATTATGAATTTCTGGTGTGCTGACCGTTTCATACATGTATATCACACATCAATGCCAGCTGATCATCACTCCTGTGTACTATTGAGTGATATAGGTTGAGTGGTGTGTTGGACGTAATACCCTAACCACCCACAAGATGTCACTATCCATATAATCTCCATGGGACTATGTTCATAATTTTTATTCATAGTTTTAAACATACACTTTGTATTTTTATACACTTTCATTTCTATATGATATGTCTCTCATGTCCTAAGCTCACCGTCAATAAAATACATTATGAGCTGATTATTAGTAAGTTAAGAGAATCTTTGATGCCTCTGATGCTGGGCGTCTGTTAAGGAGGTTTTCTGGTATGTACACACTGTGGCACCAACAAAATGGCATCCGCGAACGCTCACAGCGCATGCGCGAATGCCTTCCCTATTTAGGAACTCTTGGAAAATGGCCGCGAGCGCTCACTGCGCATGCGCGAAAGTCCGTTTTTCCGTCCATATACTATAATCACTGGTAAAATGGCCGCCAAGTCGCCAGTGCGCATGCGCGAACCGGAATCGGCGTCGCAGGATCACACAAATGCGCGCCAAATTACCCCTCTATAAAAGCATTATCATTCACCATGGGCACACTCCCTCTGAGGAAGTGTTTTCACACGAAACGCGTTAGGGAGGTGCCCCTGACCTGTGTATCCATACCACAAGGCCATCCTGACTGACACCCTGGTGGCCAGACTTTGTTTTGATGTAAGTTTATCCTTCAATTGTACTTGGTGTAAGTTTTACCTATTAAAGACATACTACACTATCAGAGGCTTCTCTGGGTCTCATCTATTGTATGGGAGCCCGTTTTTGAAGGTTACGTTTATTTGGGAATGATGCATGATCACCCCCTCCCCCGCTGATGATCTTTCTGGTGGATGACTTACCAATATACCTGGATTGATGACATCTGGTGGCCAACCTGCAGATGACATCCTCCTAATATTACAAGTCCAGAGCACCAGGAGCGGGTCTTAATTGCTCCATGCGCATTTATTGCGCTATCTGGTTAGTGCATTATTTGTACAATCACGAGATCACAAGAGTCACGAATTTCTCTGAACATGGATTATTGGGACAATTGCACCTATCACTTTATCGCACCATGCAATATGGACTGAGTTTTTCATGCAGTTATGCTGTTTATGTTCTGATTTTCTGCTTGTTCATATTTATTTTATAAGCGCTGCATATTTTATTTTCATTCCAATATAACCACCAGCATGAGATTTCACCACCGTGATATCAAATGGAGGCTTACCAGATCCTTTGACCCCTTAATAATACGGGGTCAATACACACCCGATATATATAATTCCGTACAGGCTCATGTGCCTCAGGTCAGATCACGTGCACAACTCGAGGCTCCTCAAGCCGCCCCGGTGTTACGGGGTTGACGTGTACTCATATGCAATAAAGAGGTGCCTCTCATAGTGCAGTAGGTTAACTGCCTCCCGGCCGCCATATAAGGTAATGACGGAAGGGCGGCGGTTCTCTCGTACTGGGAGGACGTCATATGACATCATTCCACTCTAACCGCACGTCGATCGGTGGTGTGCTGTGTCCCTGGGACACAGCGGATCACCGATCAGCATAAAGAGCCAATTACGTTGTCTCTGTCATGTGATCAGCTGTGTCCAATCACAGCTAATCGTATGTAAATAAGGAAATGCCGGTTGTCGGCATTCCTCAGAGGAGACATGTGCCCTGATTATCAGTGTAGCCCCATCAGTGCCACCTGTCAGTGTCCATCAATGCCACATGCCAGTGCTCATCAGCACCACATCAATGCCATATATCAGTGCCTACCAGTGCACATCAATGCCACATATCAGTACCCATCTGAGCTGCCGTTCAGTGCCACCTATCAGTGCCCACCAGTGCCGCCTTATAGTGCCAGTCAGTGCCACCTATCAGTGTCAGTCAGTGCTGCTTGTCAGTGCCAGTCAGTGCTGCCAATTAGTGCCACCTACTAGTGCCTCTTCATCAATGCCCATCTCGTCACCTATCAGTGCCCATCAGTGCAGCCTATCAGTGCCCATCACTGCAGCCTCATTAGCGTGCACATCAGTGAAGGAGAAAAATTACTTATTTACAAAAATGTTATAACAGAAACTAAGAAAAAACATTTTTTTTTTAATTTTCAGTTTTTGGTTTGTTTAGCAAAAAATAAAAAACCCAGAGGTGATTAAATACCACCAAAAGAAAGCTCTATCTGTCTAAAAAAATGATAAAAGTTTAATATGAGTACAGTGTTGCATGACCGCGCAATTGTCATTCAAAGTCCTCTTATTCTGTGTTGAGTAATGGAAAATCTTCATTCCAATATAACCACCAATGTGAGATTGCATCAACATGATATCAAATTGGAGGCTTACAAGATCCTTTAATTATAAAGGATCCTTTAATTATAATTGGAGGCTTACTAGATCCATAATTATTGGGGGTCAATACACGCCTGACAGCTGAAAATTGGCCTGGGCAGGCAGGGGGTGAAAGTGCCCAGTAGGCAAGTGGTTAAAGGCGTCTGACATCATCGTGTAAGGATCACCATTTTACAGTTTGTTTCTGCTCATTAATGCTTTTCAATCTACTATGCTTGTAAGTGCATTTCCGTTAATCTAATAAATTAGTCATTAACCTACTGCACTATGAAAGGCACCACTTTATTTCATGAGTACATGTTGACCCCATAACACCGAGACGGCTTGAGGAGCCTCGGGTGGTGTACGTGATTTGATCTGAGACACATGAGCTTAGACGGAATTATATAAATCAGGCATGTATTGACCCTGTATATTTAAGGGGTCAAAGGATCTTGTAAGCCTGCAATTTGATATCATGGTGGTGCAATCTCACGTTGGTGGTTATTGTGTTGCCTTCACAGGCTAATTGAATTAAAGTTACTTATGTGGGATATGTAGTGTACCACTGCCATCTCGTGGCAAACATGAATGGCAGTTTTCCTCTGGATATGTACATTCTCAGACAGGAAATGACTCTTGGTTTAGGAAGTTCGTCAGCCATTTTAGATTTCTATTAACTATGGATGCAGTGTGCTTGCTTCTCTCCCAAGAGGCTTGAGACATCATCACCTGTAAGTGCCTTTCTTCTGTGTCATCTGTCATTTATGTTACACTAGTTATTCTATGTATACTGATATGCTGTCATTGTATTGTGTTTCAGTTTCACCTATAAAATAAAGTTGGATTCTTTGGTAGACAACACAAGCAGTGGGCTTCTGTTTGCTGGAGATTCTGACAACGGTTTAGCTGTCCGTTTAGAGCCACACATAGTCAGTGTTTTGAGAACGGAACAGTTATATTGGAATGAATATTTTCCATTACTCATCACAGAATAAGGGGACTGTTCTATACACCTTAAAAGGACTACTTCACATATGTTTATTTACAATATTTATTTTTGGTAATGGTTCACTCTTGAGCACTTTTTGTTTATCCTTTATTGGACATATATTATTTGTATATCTATTCATTGTTTGATGTATGCAAATTTCCCTTAGCGCAACATGGGCTATTTATTTGATTTGTGATTTAGAGGGGATATCCTCTTGGTGTGTTTGCTGCTTTGTACACGATTAGGGTTGGGTATTTACACGGTTTAACTATTTAATATGTTCCAGAATATGCCTTGCTGGACCTTGGGAACTTTATGAACAGTTGTGCAATTCACCTAAATCTGTTCGATATATATATATACAGTGGGGATCGAAAGTTTGGGCACCCCAGCTAAAAAATTGTATTAATGTGCGTAAAGAAGCCAAGGAAAGATGGAAAAATCTCCAAAAGGCATCAAATTACAGATTAGACATTCTTATAATATGTCAACAAAAGTTAGATTTTATTTCCATCATTTACACTTTCAAAATAACAGAAAACAAAACAATGGCGTCTGCAAAAGTTTGGGCACCCTGCAGAGTTAATATCTTGTACTGCCCCCTTTGGCAAGTATCACAGCTTGTAAACGCTTTTTGTAGCCAGCCAAGAGTCTTTCAATGCTTGTTTGAGGTATCTTTGCCCATTCTTCCTTACAAAAGTCTTCCAGTTCTTTGAGATTTCTGGGCTGTCTGTCACGCACTGCTCTTTTAAGGTCTATCCATAGATTTTTCAATTATGTTGAGGTCAGGAGATTGTGAAGGCATGGCAAAACCTTCAGTTTACGCCTCTTGATGTAATCCCTCATGGATTTCAAGCTGTGTTTAGGATCATTATCCATTTGTAGAAGCCATCCTCTCTTTAACTTCAGCTTTTTCACAGATGGCATCAAGTTACCATCCAAAATTTGCTGAAATTTTATTGAATCCATTTTTCCTTCTACTCATGAGATGTTCCCTGTGCCACTGGCTGCAACACAACCCCAAAGCATGATTGATCCAACCCCATGCTTAACAGTTGGACAGAGGTTCTTTTCATTAAATTCTGTGCCCCTTCTTCTCCAAACGTACCTTTGCTCATTCCGGCCAAAAAGTTCAATTTTAACCTCATCGGTCCACAGAACTTGTTTCCAAAATGCATTAGGCTTGTCTATATGTTCATTTGCAAAGTTCAAACGATGATTTTTGTGGTGAGGACATAGAAGAGGTTTTCTTCTGATGACTCTTCCATGAAGACCATATTTGTACAAGTATCTCTTTATAGTGGAATAGTGTACCACAACTCCAGTGTCTGCCAGATCTTTCTGGAGGGATCATGCAGTCAAACGTGGGTTTTGAATTGTTTTTCTCACAATCCTGCGAGCTGTTCTGTCTGATATTTTTCTTGGTCTTCCAGATCTTGCTTTAACTTCCACTGTTCCTGATGACTGCCATTTCTTAATTACATTCCGAACAGAGGATACTGACATCTGAAAACGCTTTGCTATCTTCTTATAGCCTTCTCCAGCTTTGTGAGCGTCAACTATTTTCAGTTTCAGTTTTCTCGACAACTGCTTAGAAGAACCCATGGTTCTGATTGTTGGGGCAAGGTCAGATGAGTCTGGGCATTTAAAACCTTTGAGATTGACATCACCTGGTCTTCCCAGACGATGACTGAGAACAATCCATGACACTGGCAGGTCTCAGTTTGGCAAAGGGGGCAGTGCATGCTATAAATTCTGCAGGGTGCTCAAACTTTTGCAGACGCCATTTTTTTGTTTTCTGTTATTTTGAAAGTGTAAATGATGGAAATAAAATCTAACTTTTGTTGACATATTATAAGAATGTCTAATCTGTAATTTGATGCCTTTTGGAGATTTTTTACATCTTTCCTTGGCTTCTTTATGCACATTAAGACAAATTTTTAGCTGGGGTGCCCAAACTTTCGATCCCCACTGTATATATACACACACACACACACTATATTGGCAAAAGTATTGGGACACCTGCCTTTACATGCACATGAACTTTAATGGCATCCCAGTCTTAGTCCGTAGGGCTCAATATTGAGTTGGCCCACCCTTTGTAGCTATAACAGCTTCAACTCTTCTGGGAAGGCTGCCCAAAGGTTTAGGGATGTGTCTATGGTGTGTTTGACCATTCTTCCAGAAGCGCAATTGTGAGGTCAGGCACTGATGTCGGACAAGAAGTCCTGGCTCTCAGTCTCTGCTCTAATTCATCCCAAAGGTGTTCTGTGGGGTTGGGGTAAGGACTCTGTGTAGCCCAGTCAAGTTCCTCCACCCCAAACTCACTCATTCATGTCTTTATGGACCTTGCTTTGGGTACTGGTGCAAAGTCATGTTGGAACAGGAAGGGTCCATCCCCAAACTGTTCAAACAAAGTTGGAGCATGAAATTGTCCAAAATGTCTTGGTATGCTGACACCTTAAGAGTTCCCTTCACTGGAACTAAGGAGTCAAGCCTAACCCCTGAAAAACAAGCCCACACCATAATCCCCCCTCCACCAAACTTTACACTTGGCACAATGCAGTCAGGCAAGTACCGTTCTCCTGGCAACTGCCAAACCCAGACATGTCCATCGGATTGCCAGACAGAAAAGTGTGATTTGTCACTCCAGGGAACACATCTGCTCTAAAGTCCAGCTGTGGCTTGCTTTATACTACTGCATCCAATGTGTTGCATTCAGGGGCGGACTGACAATTCATGGGGCCCCTGGGCACTAGGGGATCATGGGGCCCCTGTGTCCTTGCCCAAACTCAAAAAAGCCAATGAAAAAGGTACCAGGGGCATCTCATGGGGCCCCCTACTGACCCCGGGCCCAGTTTCCAAATGGTCAGTCCGCCCCTGTTTGCATTGCAGTTGGTGATGTAAGACTTGGATGCAGCCACTCGGCCACGGAAACCCATTCCATGAAGTTCCCTACGCACTGTTTTTGTCGACTTCTGCGCACCGTTAGCTTCAGAATGTACTGACCCCGCTCTGTCATTTTACGTGGCCTACAACTTGGTGGCTGAGTTTCTGTTGTTCCCAGTTGCTTCCATTTGGTTATAATACCACTAACAGTTGAGTGTGGAATATTTAGTAGCAAGGAGATTTCACGGATGGACTTTTTGCACAGGTGGAAACCTATCACAGTACCAGGCTTGAATTCACTGAGCTCCTGAGAACGACCCAAATGTTTATAGAAGCAGTCTGCATGCCTCGGTGCTTGATTTTATACACATGCGGCCATGGAAGTGATTGGAACACCTGTATCCAATGATTTGGAGGGGTGTCCCAATACTTTAGGCAATATAGTGTGTGTATATATATATATATATATATATATATATATATATATATAGTATATTACACACAAGTAAGGATTGAGGCATTCATAGGTCTTGCAGCAGAAGAAATACAGCAAACGCTTTATTGTGTCTGACATTTCAGTGGGGCTTAGCCCATCTTTTCATGCCATTTTCATACATGTTGTGCTTTAAAGCGGACCTACACTGCATCTGAGCACCATAAACCAAAACATTATTTAACTCAT